AGCATGCTTTGGAGGAGACATATTTCTCTCACTACCCCCTCACACCCCTTAATTTGCAATATTCCATAGCCAAATCCAAATCTTTAACTTTTAATACATTAGGCAAAGACATCACTATATTTTGAAGAACCAATCCTAAACTTATAGTAATCTCCAAAAGAGTAGTGCTCACATAAACATAAACAGCCAGCCACATTTCTTCTGGGTCGGGTTTTCACAGGGTAGTCTTGTGAATGAGCATGTATGAGCACAGGATTCTTGGAAATGATCTCATTGTTATGGCTCAGCCTTCAAATCTCAGTCACTCGTTGAGTTTATACAGGACTCTAACTCGCATACACTCTTGCTCTCCTTCCTCGTGTCCCTCCTGAACTGTCAATTAAAAGGCCATCTATCTGTGCGTTTTAACTCGGGCCTCCTCTTATTTATGGCTCATTGGCTGCTTCATTAACGGACAGGCTGGAAGATGCGTAGCCGGATCCGTCCAGTTTGTAGCACACAGCAAGAGGGAGGACAGTTTGTATGTGACACCTCAGGGAGAGAAAGAATAAGGGGTGGGGGTTGCTTAAGGCGGGGGGGTTGATGACGCATTTTCCCCCGAGGGGGTGGACTTCCCATCTGTGAGTGGGTAGGCGGATAGATTAGGGGAAGACGGAGAAGGGATGAGAAGCAAGGGACTGAGAAAGTATAATAGAAAACGTGTGAAACATGTTCTAACCTGATTTGTTTACCACTCAGTGTTCTGTCACAGAAGTGTTTCTTTCTCATAAAACCTCTATAAACAAATGCTTTGGTTGTTAAAATCTTCACTATGTGGTTGACAATGTGGGTGTGGTCTCCCATGTGTTCATGACTAATGACAGCTGACTGCTCAACCCCACCCTTTGCTGTTCTGTTTGTCCCCGTTTCCTCGAAGACAACTGTGGGCTCAGATGGTGAAGAGGGGCACAAACTACTCTCATTACCCTGATCCTCTCTGTTCTGAAAATCTGTAGAAGGAAGAAAAGAAGGGCCATTTATGACTGAGAAAGACAAATACAAGGCCAATATGGGCCTTGTGTTTTCCTTTTTCCCAGTCTGCCTACACTGGCAGAGATCTCAACATGATTCCCTCATAAAATTTATTTTCCCTTGCTTCATCTTCCTATTGATCGACTTTTGAAACTTTCTTGCCTTGTGTCTCCATAGTTTTTATATGGCCAGTCTAGATTCTCATCTCCATCTATTTTTTTTCAGCCTTCCTTCCAATCACGGATATTCTGTGAGAGCAAAGATTGCCTTTTCGTTTTTGTCATTCATCAGTTTCAGAATGGACATATAAATGCACCAAATTTAAATCAAAATTATGTCACTCACCTCTGCCACCCTATAAAACTTTCTGTTCAGCTGGTTGAATTGGATCTCAGTGCAACTCTGAATGCATTGTAGATACAAACTTCAGCAGCCATGATTTGCTCAATATGTGCATTATGCCAATGTGACAGTTTACTTTCCAAAGTGATTTAAAGTTTTACAACTAAACATGGTATCAATTAGTTGCACAATATAATAAACAACAAATAAAACTTACAGGGATGTGATGTTTTAAAAGTACTAGTTCAAATGCTATGCATTAAAATTGTGCTTTCCTCTTAGATTTAGCAATTTTCTTGATCTTTTGCCTCAACTGATGTCATTGTTGCACAATGTAATGGCACAATGATAACGCTATGTTTGCTTAATGTCATGCAACACTCTTATCAATGTACTTGCAGAGCTCAAGATGGATCCAATAGCTTCTGCTTTTGGTGAAAATGCTCCAAACAGGCAGATGATGATGTCTGGTTTTCTTTGAGATCTGACTTACTGATCCCTGTTTTGACTGATTCATTTTCCCCCTGAGGTCTACAGCACCTAAAAGACAAAGATGTGCTGTAGGTATTTAGATATAGTTTTGAATTCAATTAAAAAATTAAGATATGGCTAGTTGTTGGTTGATGTCAACAAACTAAAAATGGTGTGAGTTCCCACATTTTGCTGTTTTTAGTTAAAGTAAATAACATTGTAGAAGCATAGAAGTATTGATACCAATGCACAAAAGTGTGGGAAGGTGCCAAATTGGTAGATTTTAAACAAGTAGATGCTTAGTTGCTTTGCTTCCCTAAGCATAATGTTATTATCCTTTCAGTAGTCTAAAATCACACAACTTACTCAACTATACAATGTTCTCACCTCCCAGAGCAAATGTTTGTAAGTCTTGTTTAAAAAAAAGTTTTGGTAGCTGCATGAAAAGTTAAAAGGACTTTTTTTGGCCTACTCCAAGAAGCTAAAGACTCCAGGGTATTTTATAAGCTAAAAGATTATATCAGCTCAGAGCCTTTTGCATTATGCACTGAAGTTTAATCTGTGGGGTAGATTAGGCAAATTAAGTCTTCCACAGTGTCTGCTATGGCTCTCACTGAAGTGTTGGAGCTGCACTGATCAGACAGCAGTCTACAAAGGAGTCAGTTAAGGAAGTGTGCTTAAACTCCATGGAAGTGAAAAGACACTTTGTATTACATGTTTTATAAGTACTTTAAAATAATCCTAAAATTAATGTTTTGCACATAACTATTTTATTTTCTCACATTGGCTTAAAACGGTGGACTAAGTCCTCCCATCTGATTGAATCAAACATCAGTTTTTGAGTTTGGATGCAGTGTGCAAATGGCAACGTTTCACTTTACCCACTTTTAAGTTAACACATTTCATGAGCTACCACTCAGAATAAAAATAAACTGAAATGATCAGAGCCGTAACAATCACTTAAGAAGTTTGTGTAATCTATAGCTTTTCTTGGGTTATTTCTGGTGGTGCTTTTTCTATATACTAATTTATTTATTTTCATTACTGAGAAACTTGATATAGTTGATATAGGTTAATCTTTTTTTGCTGATTAACTACTACACTTAAAACACTTTAATCTAAAATAGCCATTTCAAAAACAGCTTTCTAAAGACATTTATTTCATTTTAACATTTAAGTCATACATAGTTTCAATTATCACTCATTCTTTAGAGCTGTGAAATCGAATGAAAATATTAATAGTACCGTATTTCTACCGCCACTTTAAGAAGCACAGAAATAAGCTTGTATGATAAATGTAAGCTGCTGTTGGTCTATGCAGCTGAGCTGACCACAAATGATGCAATCAGTTGGCACAGCACAGGCACTCTGCCCCTCTAAGATCGCTCCCTTCTATTAACTCTAATGCAGACTGCAATCATTGGGCATATTTTCACACAACCACAAATGCAAAAACGACTGTTGATTTACTTCCTTTTCTAACAAACAACTTTGCTTATTTAAATTTTATGCATGAACAGAAGAATTATGTTATTTAGAAACACCCTGGATGAATGTTTTGTAACAGTTTTTTTTACCCCTTCTACTTCTGTTTGATAGAAATTAGGATATATAAAAATAGGATATTTTCTATCATTAAACTCTAAAGTTTTAAACAAGATCTCAGTTGAGCATTGGGAGGACAGAAGGGAGGGTTTGAAATTAAACTTCCTTTTCTGAACTCAGACTTGACCCACTTTTTCGTCTTAGTTTCTATTCTATTGGTTTAACCTACAAATCATCTTGTCTTATCTCTGAATGCTCGAGCATAGTAAATTATCCGAATTATCTTCTCCGTGGATATCTTGGAGATTGTCCCTTTGAAAGTCTCATTATCTGTTTTTGCCCGTCTCTGTAGTTAGGGTGTGTCTCCAAAACTAATAAACAATCTATTTTAATGGAATCCTGGAAACTGAAGTAATCTTTCAGCCACAACATCTGCAGTTTTATGTGCATCATATATTGCTTTATTAATGCATGGATTGAATTTTAGAGAAGTTGAATGAAATTATATTTTCCAAATACAAACTTTTCTGGGACATTTTGCAGTTCAAAACATCACAAAGCATAAAAGATGCCTTAAGAAGCCATCATAAATTGTCTGCATGGACTTTGCTGTTTCTAGCGGCTAAGGGGCACCAAAAGGGACATAAAATAAAACATCTTAAACATCTAATTATAAGTCTGGCTTTAAGAATCGCTCCAATTTGAGGGTGCAGGTTCCTTTTGAACTCCCTATGTTACTTCCTCTCTCTCCCTGGGGCACAGAGGAAGTAGCAGCAGATGTGTTACGCTATAACAGACACCGTGACAACACTACTGGTCTTTAAGTTCCCTCTGCATTAACATAAACCACCCAGGATGTACTTCACAACTTACTGAACTGCTACACATCCACACCTCACATCTCAGTTTATCCTGTAACCACAATGTCTCATATTACAAAGAGGCGGTCGTGTTTTTTTTTAATCATTATTATTAATTACAAGAGTTGAGATGCCTGGTTTTTGGCAACTGATGTAATATGTTCTAAACATAGTAATAAACGCTTTTTTGATTTAAAGCTGTGGTTCCCAAAGTTTTATTACAAGTGTTGGTAAAGGGCATGTTATTTTTCCACGTTGTGCCATCCTGTCAAACATTTTTAAAACCTCATTTTTTATTTTGGATGCATTCTCTAGTCCTGTCTTCAGATGTAAACTTAACACAGCATAAGTAGTTGCTCTCATTTGTTCTTGCTTTTCTGTTTGTCCCCATACATGCTGCGAATTATAGAAATTTTCTACACTTTCATTTATTTCATTTTCTTATTGAAGTAAACATTGGTTTGCTTGAACATCTGGTTTATTTTGGCTTTTTGTTTTACATTAAACAAAGCCATCATCTAAAGCCTGAGGTCCATCTGAGGAGTGATGAAGCTCAGGTTCCATCACTGCTACTTTCATCATAGTTTATAAAAACTTTATGTAATGAATTTGCTGAAAATGCAGCAGAAGATTTCTGACTGAGGCATTTAAGAAATGTCATAGACAACAAAAAAATTATCATGACCAACTGAAACATGTTGTTTTTCTCACAGCATAAATTCTGTTTAGAAGAATGATATTATAATTTAACTTGCTTTGTTCATGTTGGACTTTTTTGTTATGTAACCAACATGATTCGGTTGCTGTGATGCAGTGACACTGACCTCTAGTGGTTTCTGTGTATAAATACCCTGGTCTTCTAAATCTAGGCCATGTTTTGAATTTGTGGATACACTCCCCCCCTCATGCTTGTTATCAGCACGTGTAGTGAAACGCGTTATTGGTTGAAACCGGCTGTGATTGGCCCGCTCACTGTTTGTTTTCAGTCTGTCCTCATCGGTCACAGACTGTGACCTATTAGAAGCTGCATGACAAGGCAACATCTTGAAATCACTGGCAACAAAAATGCTATTGGTTTTCAACGATTCCTCAGCCAGCCTGGGAACAGAAATGTGCATGACTTTGTCTGCTAATGAAAGATGTTTCCATCTTATCTTTCCACCGTTAGACTAAATATTCTTTTAAAAGGTTTTTTTTTTAATACCATCTCCAGTATTGTGCTCACCAACAGTTCTTTGTTGTATAAATCAATGACTGAGTACAGGAATAGTTTCCTTATTGTTGAAGGATTGCTCCCAATCGATTGGTAGAGATGTCTATTGAAAGTGAAGGGGACAGAACAAATGAGGGCGGGAGCAGAGACGGAGTGTGTGTGTTGGTGTGTGTATGCGACAGAGAGAGAGAGAGCTAGCTATAAAACAGACTTTGGACTCCAACCAGCTCAGTCAGAGACAGCTGTGCAGGACGAAGCTCTGCTTCTACGCAAGGCTCATAACATTCTGACAAAACACAACGTGCTTTAATTCTTTTTCCTGGAAAACAGATTTTTAATCAGAATAAGCCAGGATGGCGACCATGTTCAGATATCCTGTCTTTCCTCATCTGCAGGGTGAGTTACTTTAGAAAACAGCTCTGTACAGTTTGTACACTTTATTTTTATGGTATTTATTAGTGAATTTCTTAAATCTTTTGTAATGCTTTAATACATTTTAAAGGAGGAAACTGTCTTTTATGCTGTTCCTTAAGCATCTTTGAGCTATCTGTCCAGATTTAAGATGTGCAAACAGTAGCTTCAATAAAAAGTTAGATATTATGAGGTTAAGCATACTCTGATAAGGCTAGCAATCCAACTTGCAGTAAAATCTACCCATGCTTGATTATAACATGCTTGATGAATGAGAAACATTTTCCCATACACCAACTGTGCCTGTAATTGTTAAATTGCATAACTTCCACCTAAAAGTATGCAAAAAACTTTTATTTTAAATGTTTTTTTTTTGTTTTGTGTTTTTTATAGAATAAAACTGTTAATTATGGATCTTGATCAAATATTTATGTTTTAATATTTATGTATATGTGGGAATTAAATAGCCCTTATTTTGTATAGTTTATGAATCTTGGCCAAAGGTCCATAAGGAACATCTGGAGTTTAAAATCTACATCAAAATTGATTTGTATCTAATTATGTGCTGTCTGGGTAAATTAGTGGGGTTGCAGATGTTTTTTTTTTACCACATGACAGGAGAATGAAATGTTCAACCTCACTCAGTCTGGAACCATTATGTAATGTCAGCATCGAGTCCCCTGATGTCAATTCAGAAACTTATGTCAGAGTTTACGGAACAGGTTTCCATTAGAATTTGAAAAGATTGATTTTTTGTTGTTGTTTTTTTTTTTAAAGGGGTTTCTTTCTGATATTTATACACAATTGTTATGATGTGGTTGCAGGATTCTGGTTTGTTAGAGAGCATGATTATTGAATACTCATTTCATTTATTTAGGTATGAGTTATTGTATTAAATAGACCATAAATGAAAGCTCAACTTTAAAATGTCTATAATTTAAGTAAACTAAAAAGAAAAATCTGCCTATTTTAAACTACAAAAACAACCTATATCATTATTATCAGTATATCTTTTCGCTTATCAGTTTATATTATAATCATTTTAAACCTTAATGTCCAAAAATTGCTAATATGAGTTTGCTATTTTTTTTTCTTCTTGTATCTAAATCTGTTTCCCTGCTTGACGTGTCACAACTTGTCATTTTCTCATTGTCCTCTGTCTCTGCAGATCCTTGTGATCCTGGAAGGAGTGTCATGGCAGAACCGGACTACCTGGAGGGAGACTGTGATGAGCTCATCCAACCCAAAAAGCTGATTAATCCAGTCAAGAGCTCCCGAAACCACCAGGACCTCCACAGAGAGCTTATTATGAACCAGAAGAGGTCAGGAGATAAATAAAAAAAAGCCTCCAGTCCTTTCTTTTTCTCATTTTTCAATGCCCTCATTCCTATCTACTTGCTTGTGGGTTGGAATAGGTTTTATCAGTTTGTGACTGCAATAAAATATATCAAAGTGTGAATCCCGCATATTTTACAGATAGTGATATATTTATTTATGGCTCAGTAAAACTTTCTAGTTGGTCGTTACCTTGGTAATGCCATAACAATCACTAAACGGGGGGAAAAAAACATTAGACTGCATCCATATCCTCGATAATTTAGTTTCATCCTTACTAATGGAGGATGACTGAATCCAGTTAAAATCCCTGCCGGTGTTCTAATCATCTGCACACAGAGCTGATGCTTTTGCTGTGTCACTTTGGCTGAGCTCACTGATTCAACCTCTAGCAGCATCGTTAATTGGCTTAATACGCAAAACTGTCACCAGAAGTATTACATAAAAAAAGTATTGTCAAAAATAGTTACATAAAAGTCCCATGCAAATGTAAAAGCACCTGATTGCTTGTTGTTTTAAGGCAATATGAGTGCCCTTCTGTGTGAATGTAAATGCACATGTTCCAGCACCTGTGATTATCCTTTCAGCACTGAATGTTTTTTTTTTTCTCTCTCACTGTGCAGCAGTGGCCACTTTGTGCCTGAGCTATAAATAGCAGTGTAAATACTCATGATGCTGACAGCTGCTCCATCACAGCATCCCTGCTCTGTCTTTGAACAGGTCAAAGACTGGGATCCAATTTGTAACAATGAAATTACAATAAGATTTAGTGGGGGAAAAAATTGTAATACTAAGTCGACTTTCTAAGTGGTGCAGCATATTTTTTCTATGGGTCTAGAGAGGCTGAAGTGGGATTTTTGGGGGAGACAAAATGGTTTGATTGGGCTTTTAGCACTTTCTGATATAGAGAAATGTTGCTTTCACAGTGGATTAGTCATAGAGGAGAGGCAGGGAGGGGTGCGTGGATGGATAGATGCATGGATGGATAGATGGGTAAAGAAGAAAAGGAAAAAAAAAACATGTTATGTAATCAAGATTACAAAACAGTCTCCAGCTGAGTGCCTTTCTCTTCCTCTGCTACCTTGGTGACAGTGACCCTACCCCACGCAAACCCTTAAAGAGCAATGTGAGAATGTCAGAAATCGAGTCCCTTTTTGTTAGAAGATGTGCACTTGGATGAGGGTGCGGGTGGGAAGGGGGGCTTGAATGGCTACTGATTATGTAAAAGCAGTGATGTAAGCATCATTACAGTCTGTCTGTACTGGAAACCTTAAAGCTGCCCAGTCACGTCTCTTATCATCTGCTTAGCAATGCTTTGCCTCAGCATTGCTAAGTGCTTTCATAAGACATAAAAAAAACAGGCAGATTAACTGCAGCAGTGACTCTCGAGAAAGTGACGTCTTTTTGTAAATTAACTCCCGCTGCATCTTGAAACATTTTGAGCCCAGTTATGTAATCTGTAGGATCTAATCATGCATTTAATTAAGATGCTGCTGGTTCTGTACTGGGTAGGCAGGTAGAAAGACTTTCAGTCAGGATTCAGTTCAGAAAGAAAACGGTCAGGAGAGAAATCTGATCATCTGAATCAGAAGGTTTTTAAATGAAAATGACAGCTGAACTATTATGAAGCACAGCCTGTCACAGTAATAAGTGACAGGCTTGTTGTGGGAGCTTTGTGTGTTGTTTTTCTCTTTTCCAGTCAGTCTCTCTCCTTATTCTTCTGTTTAACAATCTCAGCTCTCCTCCCCCATGTTTTCTTTAACTTGGAGAAGTTGGTAGATTACATAACTTTGTTCCTTTTGGCAAAACGATCTCACATTTTCTTAAGATGACTTTCTTAGTCATTTAGTTTCCCTTTAGCTTATTTGAGAGAAGAGTGGGATAGTTTATACAAGCAAGCAACTACAGTGCCTTGCAGAACTTTTGAGTATCTTGTTACTTTTCAACCTGAAGACTTTTATGTGTTGTCAGAATTTATCGTGACTGACACAAAGTGATGCCTAGTTGTAAAGTTGAAGAACAAGAATGCACATTGAAAAAATAATTCTTCATAGAAATAAAATGTTAAAATTTTAATGTGTATAAAAGTCTATATCCATTACTTTCAGCATTTGTAGAGCTAATGAAGACATACCCCAAAATACTACAAAAGCTTGATTCAAGGGAGTAAATATGGACTTTGAGTTTTTTCAGATTTTCATTTGTCAGAGATTCTGGAAAACAATATATTGTTTTTATTAATTTCAGTTATGTGCTAATTTTTTAATTAGCACATAATTAAAGCTCGTGCTCGTGCTGATGGGATAAAATGTGAAAGAGTTGAATGGGTGTGAATACTTTTGTTTTTCAGGCACAATCTCCAATTGCTTTAAAATCAGAATTTTTGAAACATCATCATGTAATCCAGATGATGTAACACAGATATAGTTTACTAACTAGAACGAGGTCATGATGTTCATCTGTTCTGAATAAATCTCCTAGAAAATTGTGGCCCGGAAATTCCATAAGCTTGTAGTACCACAGATTTTTTTTTTAAGCTTAGTTTATGAAACATGTTGTCTCTTACTGATTTGTTGCTCTCTCTTTCTGTTGTAAAGGGGCCTTGCTCCTCAGAACAAGCCAGAGCTCCAGAAGGTTCTAGAGAAAAGGAAGAGAGAACAAGTTATCAAGGCCCAAAAGGAGGAGCAGGAGGCTCACAAGAAGAGAAGCGACCTGGAAATAGAGCTCATGAAAAGACAACAGAAACTAGAGCAGGTAAATCTTCTAACATATAACCAATTTCATTTTTACCTCTCCAAGTTCATTTTTAATGGTACATTGATTTATTTGCTTTCTTTATTTCCGTTGTCCAGCTTGAACTGGAACAGCAGAAAATTCAGGAGGAGCAGGAAAACACCCCTGAGTTTGTGAAGATGAAGGGCAACCTGCGCCGCACCAAGCAGGAAGCCGGCGGTGAAGAGCAAGCCACCTAAAATCCGGCCGGGATGTCTGGGTCTGGCTGACTGAGAAGCCAAGGAGTGTGTGTTGTGTCTGTGGTAACACGGTGATGAGCCTCTTGGCGTTCCCTTACCCAGCTGTTCCTTCCTGCAGCGAGGAGAGAGACTTTAGAGACTAAAGATCCCCAACCCCTTCTTTCTCCCTGCAATGGACCGCCAGCACTCGCTCCTGTCCAGCAGTACGCAGCACCCCCACTCACAGGAGGCACCTAACACAGACATGTTACACGCATTTCCACACAGGCCAGCAAGCTTCCAATGAGCTCTAGTGGAGGAAATGAACCAAACCCAATCTGTCTTTGCTTTTTTTCTCCTCTGCGAGCTGTCGTTTCCATTTCCTGTTATCAGTGTTGTCATTATTGTTTCTGTTGCTCATATTCACAATCATAGAAAAATCAAAAAGTGGACACTGGATGGACTCTTAAAGCTGTGTAAAATAAAAGCCAAACAAATGTGCTTTTTGTTATTTATGTTGGTAGCTTTTAGCCAAGGTGTAGGGGAGGACACTTTTAGTCATTCTGTGTTTTATTTTGTTTTACAGCATGGCAATATGAAGCCAGAACAGGACAAAGGGAGTGTGAGGTTGTATGAAAATATGCTTTTTTTTTCTTTTTTTTTTTTTTTATGTACATGCTATTTCCTCAGCTAATACAATTTTAAGCAATAGTAGAACTCCTAGGCCTAAGAGGGATTTTTTTCTTTATATATTCTATTGTTTTGTATGAAAAAATGTGTTACTTAATAAATAATTTACATTTTATTTGGCTAACATGCATGTTTGTGTTCTGTGTGGGTAAAACCATGTAAGGTAGGTATTTGGAGAACCTGCTAATTAAACACAGGAGAGAACGCAAAGCCAAACAATCTTGAGTTGACAGTCTCCTCTATTCACTTTGAATAGGACACCAATCCCTCGTATTCCTGCAAGGAATAAGTGAATATAGAAAATGGTTAATTCCAAATAAGTAGCCGTAAAAAGTCAATAGCCTGATGAACACTTTTGGCTTTCCATTTGATTTCACACACAACTGTTCATTATAGTGGAAATGAAAAATTTTGTTTTAATGCATCACAACTATAAGATTTGAATCAATTATGTTCACAGTAAAATAGTGTGTATATATATATATATATAAAAATTCCCTTCTCACCCACCGCGGGTGGTTCTTATCCTCTGAGCTCGGGTCCTCTACCAGAGGCCTGGGAGCTTGAGAGTTCTGCGCAGTATCTTGGCTGTGCCAAGGACTGCACATTTCTGGACTGAGATGTCTGATGTTGTTCCTGGGATCTGTTGTAGCCACTGCTCCAGTTTGGGGGTTACTGCCCCGAGGGCCCCGATGACCACAGGCACCACTGTGGTCTTCACCTTCCAGGCCCTCTCCAGTTCTTCCCTGAGGCCCTGGTATTTCTCCAGTTTCTCGTGCTCCTTTTTCCTGATGTTGCAATCACTTGGTATTGCTACATCTACCACAACGGCTTTCCTCTGTTGTTTATCCACTACGACAATGTCTGGTTGGTTTGCCATTACCATTTTGTCTGTCTGGATCTGGAAGTCCCACAGGATCTTAGCTCTGGCGTTCTCCACCACCTTTGGGGGTGTTTCCCACTTTGATCTCGGGGTTTCCAGTCCATATTCTGCACAGATGTTTCTGTACACTATGCCTGCCACTTGGTTATGTCGTTCCATGTACGCTTTCCCTACCAGTATCTTGCACCCTGCTGTGATGTGCTGGACTGTCTCAGGGGCCTCCTTGCACAACCTACACCTTGGGTCTTGTCTGGTGTGGTAGATCTGGGCCTCTATTGCTCTGGTGTTTAGGGCCTGTTCCTGGGCGGCCAGGATGAGGGCCTCTGTGCTGTCCTTGAGTCCAGCTTTTTCCAGCCATTGGTAGGATTTACTGATATCAGCCACTTGGGTTATTTGCTGGTGGTATATATATATATATATGAAGAATAGAATAATAGAATTTTTGTTCACTAATATGGAACTTAACATTTGAAGAACTTCATTAAGCTTGGATTTGGATTTGGGATTTGGGGTAGAATAAAAAATACCTTTCAAAAATTGAGTTTTCTATTAAATTGGAATTAAATCTAAGGTTTAGATACAAAGTATCAAATAAAACAAGAGTAATCAATTAAATATTAGTGATGAACCTATATTTTAATAAATAAAAAAATAGCATTTCAAATCCAATTTGCAGTAACGAGTGTAAAATAAGTTCTGAAATCGGGAAAATGTTTTCATCATTGGTGGCCGCAAAAGTTCAAGGTAAAATTTACATGTGTAAATGCAGATATGTGTCAGCATTTAATACAGCAGTATCAACCAAAACACAATTATCTACTTTAGGTGTTTTAGATTCCAGAAAGAAAAAAATGTTTTCTTGTACCTCAACCATGGCCAGTAGATGGCAGCAAAGCGCCTTTGACGTCTCTTAAGACACCGCAGAGTAAGTGGAGTCCCTCGCTCATCAGATAGCGGCAGAGATGGCCGCCTGTGGTTTGTTCCGCTCATTTTCTTTCAACTTTTCCACAGTTTGGCCTTTATTTACCCGCTCGCCGCTGCTCTCTCCTCTGAGGCTGGCACCTACAGCTTATAATGGGAGAACACTAGCTTCTTCAAGCCGATTATCAGCAGGTATTTGTCCTTGGATTTGTTTAGACTAGCTCGTTACTCTGCATAGCAGCACCAACAGGAGGGGGAAAGGACATGGCAGAATGTCAGCTCTGCTACATGTGTGGTTATCACACACACCAAAGACTACAGAGTCTGTTGTTTTGTCTTACAGCACTTAAATTCACAGACAAACACGAATGGATTCGAGTAGAAGATAATGGAACAGGTACAGTCGGCATCAGCAACTTTGCACAAGTAAGTTTCCAATCTCCCACATGCCCTGAAGTGAATGATTCCAGAGTGATCTTTGACCCTGCTATTGATCACTTGCAGGAGGCGCTGGGGGATGTAGTCTACTGTGGCCTACCAGAGGTGGGAACACAGCTTGCCCAGCAGGGTATGAAGTTTTCTACATGGTTTTGTGAACCCAGTTGCATACACTGGACAGTTTTAGCAGTGATTTTTTTCTTTTTAAAACATCACATCACTGTTTCATAGAAAACACCAGATAAATTGCAAAAAAATTATAATTCTCTGTTAGAGGAAGACTTTTCTGGTAAATGGTTAAAATGACTGTTTATAATGCTGGTTCTTGAAAGAGTCATTTTAGTTTAGATACGTCAATGATCTAAACTTGACATATTGCTTTTGAACTATGTCAATGAGCTTACATGGCAAAGTTTAATGAATAAATCAGCTAAGCTATGAAAATAATAATTCTAAAAAGACTAACCATTTATGTATATATTTTCTCAGATGAGTTTGGAGCTCTGGAAAGTGTCAAGGCAGCAAGTGAACTTTATTCACCCTTGACTGGAGAAGTTGTAGAGGTCAACACACTACTGGCAGACAACCCCGGTTTGGTCAACAAATCCTGCTATAAAGATGGTGAGGATGCTCACAAACTGACATGCATGTCTGTCTTGCTGACGCCTTAAGCTATGTGAAAAGGAGATAGTTCTTGTGTTCAATGAAAAAGTATGTCAAGTTTCTTTTTAAAATGTGTAATTCCTAAATTGCTACTCGGCTCATGATGTGAAACATACCAATCCATGACACTGGAACATTTAGCTCAACTGAACAGATGAATGTGCTTTTCTGAAACACAAGCTTGACAGTTTAGCTTTAGGTAATACTGCTGTTTGTGTTCAGGCAAAGCAAAAAAAAAAAAACAAAAAAAACATATCTCAAAAATAGCAAATGTTGCTTTTACTAAATATTGTTTTTCTCGAGGCCACATGATTCTTTTGTTGGACAATAGATGGCAGCATTGTACAAAATATCCTTTTACCAGCAATAATAAAAACTTTTTTTTACTTCTAAGAAAGCCTAAAAAAGCCAGTTTGACATAAAAACAATAAAAATATAATTTGCTCTGAATTATAATTTTAAAAATGCAATGCCAACTAAAAATGTCTTGGGTTTCTTAATTTCTTGAAATATATTTTAAGAACTTTACTGTTTTACATATTGAAGAAATATTTCTAACTCGTGTCTCAAAAAGCAAACCCGTGCAGCTTGTTCATTGTTAAATCACATCTTGCACTGATTTTCTTTAGGTTGGCTGATGAAGATGACGATTGCAAAACCCGCAGAGCTCGACGCTCTAATGGACGAGGCAGCATATGAGAGATACATCCACTCTATTGAGGACTAACTTTGGGTTGTTTTAACGATTATTATGCTCCTGCTTTATTTCCATCATTACAGGCAGGGAGGAGCATTTGATGTGCCTCTCAGTTCCATCACAATGCTTAGCATCCAGCAGCAAAGGTTTACAGCTCTGTACTGCTGATGTGCCCGGGCTGTAGAAATGTGAACTTTAGAAATTCTTTACCTACTGAAAACGACTGACTTTAGGGGACCTCTCAGTCTGCACTGACTAAAAATCCTCACTTCTTACAGCTACACAATCTTTAAGCTGACAAAAAGAAATCAAGTAAAAAAAGATTCCAAGCATTTCAGTCAAACCTGAAATTCAGCCTTTGTATACGTAGACTTAAAAAGCACTTTGGTCTTCATGGTATTAATTTGGTTTGTGAACACTGTGGATATGGTACCTGTGTAATAGAAAAAAATAAACATTTCCTTACTCATTGAGTTTGTGTGAATTTTATTTCCGAACTTTCAGACGGTATATTAAAAGCAAAATCGGTTTACAGTTTGTACATCTTTGGTTGTTGTTGTGGCTGCACCAAGTCATACAGAGAAACAACCAGCTTCCAGCATCACATAAGACATACAAAATACTTGATCCAAAATGCAACAAGACAGGAAAATGATAACCACCTCAACCAGCAGGCCCCGGCAGCAGATGATGGGTGGAGAAACACGGCAGCTTTGGCTTTAATAATTGATTTGACAACGGAATAAACTGCTCAGGCTTTAACGCCACATTAGGAAGAGATGCATCTGTTGGTTAACAGGGACTATGGTAGAAGTATGTGAATTTATATAATAGCTTAGTGAATTTTTGATTGAAAAATATGCAGCTTTTATACCAATGGAGGTAGGAAACAAGTTCTCAATATTCAATCATATTTTTGTGTGAATAATTCACACAAAGTAGCAGGTACTTTCTGTGGCACTAAAATGATACACATTTTAATTTTTTTTTGGGAGCTTCCAGATGAAATTCGATGTCCCTTCAATAGTTGTGTAAATGCTAAATGGAGTCCATTTGTGTTCAATCTTGGTATAAATAGTTGTTCTGAGAAGGTCTAAGAGGTTTGTTAGAGAAATAACAGCATCATAAAGGCCAATATCAAATTGGAATACTTAAGGACAATGTGGAAGACTTTAAAGGATTTCGATATTTTACAGAGCATTGTTCACACTGACACATCATCAAACCTTTCAAGACATCTCCGTCCCCCTGAACTGACTGGCCAGGTAAAATCTCTATTAAACAGGGAAGCAACAAAGAAGCTCTTATTAACGTTGATGGAGCAGCAGAGATCCATAAGTCAGTTGGGAAAATAGTTGTACCTTCCAAAGAAGAGTGACAAGACAAAGAGCAGACAGCAGGTGGAAGAAGATGACACCGAAACTGGACTATCTGGTCAATATGTACATTATGCATGGCTGAAAATTAATATTGGACATCACCCTGAACATCCCATCCTCAGGGTGGATGACAGTGGTGGCTTCATTTTGCGGATGCAGGAATATGGAAACTGGTTAAGAGTTGATGGGAAAGTGAATGGAGCCAAAGGCAATCACTGTTTTCCAGGAAGAAAAGCTATGGGAAGCTAAAAATAGAACAACCCTAAAAACAGCAAAAGATGCAGTGGAACAGATTAAATCAAAGAATATACACGTCTGAATGGCCCTGTCAAAGTTCAAACCTAAATCCAACTAAAAATCTGTGGCAACCTGAAAATTGGACCTCAGAAAATTTGTCACAGATTCTCTTCATTGTAACTACTTTACAAAGAAGAATAAGATTACATTTCCAAATCAAAGGAGTATGCATCAATTTCCTTCGATTTCATAGTTGCGCACTGCATTATACTGATGTGTTATATAAAATCCCACTGCAGTACCTTGTGGTTCTAATGTAGAAAAATGTGAAAAAGTTTTCAAAGACTTTTTTTTTCTTTGAATACAGAAATTTGCAGTACAATAAGTCAACTGCAATCTCAACCAACATTGTAGTGTGCATGTAGAGGGATGGAAGCTGCGTGTGGAGACAGCTTTAGAAAATACACCAGCAATGTTTTAAAACCCAACCAAGAGAAGTACATTTCTAAACTTGCACATTTTTAACAGTACAATTTTCTAACTTCGATCCTGGAAGTATTTCATGTTTCTTCTCTGGTTCAGTTCCTTGAAGCGATGACACCACCGGGGACAATAGAGAACTTGTCCTTGGCTGTTGGAGTCCTTCTGGCCCTTCCCCGGTTTGACGGAGCCGGAGGGAGTCCCTCCATTCTGCGGTAATCCCTCTCCAGTCTCTCCTGTCTCTGTGCCCCCTCGTACATCACACTGGCTGTAAAGTCCGTCTCATTTAGGAACGCTATGGTCTCGTCCCTCTTACGGCTCACATATCCTTTCAGCACTGCGTTATAAGGGTTTGAGGCAGCATCTGCGTCCGGGTCTTCCAGCTGGTGTTTGAATTCCATGCGGGTGATGACAGGCAGCAGGAACTGTTTCCCCTCCGACACCACAGCCCCGTCCCTTTGAGACACACCTAGAGCCTCAGACAGAAGGCGTTTGGGCAAAGGCACCAAATCACAGCCTGAGCGCTTGTCAACATACTGTTGGAACTGCTTGCGCACCAGAGCTACATCTTGTAGAGATTTGCTCCTCTGCTCCTCTAGATTGGTAACTATTCGTTCAGGATACGTCTGGCCAAACACCACACCTAAGAGGCAACAGAAAATATGAAAGTGAGCAAAGGCCCCTGAATCAGAAGTTGTTCAACCTAAAAACAGTTGATAAATTTCTCACCTGCTCGCCGCAGAATAGATGCAGGACATTTCCAGGGTTTGTGTATGAGCTCGTCTGGCAAAGCTGCAAGCTCAGGACACCATTTCCTGACATAGCTGCCGTACGGGTCACAGGTCATTGCTGCATCAACTGGGTGCATCACAAAGTTCCAGTGATCCAGGCCACACATACCACCATTCTGCCACATCATAGCATCGATAGCAACATCTGCATCCACGAGGGTGTCCTAAACATGAATAAATGCTTGATGCAGTTCAGTAAGTTTTAGGTTTTTAATGTTATACATGTTTCTCCCAGTCAAAGGTAGGGAGAATAAAAGTTTTTCAAAGCTGAGTTCTGGAGGTTTACAAATTTCTAAATACTAAGCATAAAACCAGAGCTGATCAAATGCAGCTCAAGTTTATGACAAACCAATGAAATAGCCCTTACAAAGTTGTAAGCTACAAATACATTAGCATCATCATCAGCCACTTCTGGTGGATGAACCACAATATTTTGTTGCCTTGTTCACCTCACCAGAATGGATACCTCATTCCTCAGAGCTAAAATATGCAACTGCTGAGTTATTTCATTCCTCGGTTTTCGTAGCGTCTTCTTCCAGGTCTTAAACCCCAGGGCCAAGTTCCCAACATAAGAAAACATTTTTGCATCTTCAAGATGCTTACCTGGAACCAGCGATAGCCTTCTTGCCAAGGCATATGAAGATAGGCAATGAGAAAAGATGCCACTACATGTCGCATGTAGTTGTTCATCCAGCCTGTCAGCCACAGCTGCCTCATGGCTGCATCAACTAGAGGGTAGCCAGTTTTACCTTTCTGCCAAGCCTTTAGGTGGCGGCAATCAGTGCTCCAACGTAAAGCCTGCAAGTCACAGAAAATGAATAATTCTTTGCAACTAATACAAAGAATTATATACAATGATAATGTGCTAATATAACAGTGTATCTTAACCTTGTAGGGAGGTCTGAGTGATTCCCAGGGCAGATCAGGAAACAGTGTTAGCTGCCAGTAAGCCAAATCCCTCCAGGCCAGCTTCCGTTGGAACTTTGGGGGTCGACACCTGGCTCCTTTGGCATCCCATAGCAGCCAGCGTGGACTGAGCTGACCGAAGTGCAGGTAGGGAGACAGACAGCTGGTGTTCGGAGCATCTGCCCTGCCTGACTCTTTTTCATATCTATACACACCTAGAAATTGAAGGAATAAACATACGCAACTATTTAATAGCTTTCCAAGTAAAACTGCAATGCAATTTATGTTTGATAGACACAGAGACACTTCACCATCATGAAGAAAAGCTTCCAGTTGGGCGTGTGCTCCATCTTCACTAAAGTCCCAGGACTTGCGAATGTTTTCAGCCCAGTCAATCTGTAGACAAAAATAAGAACACCATCACATTACAACTGCAAACCTTTGAAAATCTCTCCAGTTCAATTTATCATCTGAACATGTAAGCACCGTCGCTCATTTGAAAAGCTACCAAGACATAAGTTCCAGCTAAAAGGAGAGACAGGGCAAGCAGAGGCTTTTTAGTTTTTGAACTGTTAACAAGTTATTTAGTTTCTGTGCTCACAATTGTGCCATCCTTCCTGCGTGGCATGCGTGCGAGACCAAGCATGTCCAATGGGACACCTGGTGGCCAGCAGGTAGGTGAAGGAAGAGACACTGGTGGGTCCAGAGGAACACCTAGAGAAGCTCCTGGGTTTTGTCTGCAGCAGTTCATGAAATGAGACACTGAACCGATGCCTACGTCACAGAGAAAAAAAAAGTACAACCTGATCAAAATGTTTGCATTTCATTTTAGCTATAATATAGTGAATTTTGTCAGTACATACCTCTGAGCCCCACGCCCTCTGTGCTGACAGAAAACGGATCTCTGAGACAGTACGAGTGGAACATTTTACATTCAACTCCTTCTTTGTGCAGGGCTGAAAAGACCACATCATCCCTCTCCTTCAGCCACGGTTCGTACAAAGCATTAGCCATTACAGTTTGTGCCCCGGTTTCCTTTACTAATGTTTTCAGCGCATGCAGTGAAGATCCGTCTTTGTTCCCATCTGCACTGGCTTTGATAAAGATGAGATGGCTGCCAATCCGCTCCAGGGAGGCACAAAAGCAAGACAAAGCCTGATGAAGCCAGTATTTACCTGTTACATAAAGGACATTTAGTTAGTGAATACACTAGAGATTAAGATTGTATCAACTTTCAGCTGTGTTGAAACTTCACAAACAAAATATCTGAGTCTTAGGGCAACTTACAAGCTCCCCCCATAGCAAGGGTGACCCCTGGACCCTCCTCCTCCTCAGGACTCCAAATAAAGACAGGAATGACAGGTGCACCCAACTCAAGACATCTGATAAGAGCAGGATTATCACAGAGTCTAAGGTCTCTCCTGAACCAAAGTAAAACAGGTGGTGGCGCTGATGGAGAACGGGTTAAACCTACAATCTGCTGGGCAGCTGCTTTTCGCCGTTGCCGCCTATTTTTAGAACATTTCGGTTTCTTTGTTAGATTCAAATCTCCCTCCTTCATAACTTGGCCACTTACGGATGCTGTGTTTGGAATAGAAAATGAAGTAGAGGAATCTGGAACATAAAGAGCCTGGCTTGTTCCAAGTGATTTGTCATCAACACCTTCAACATGTGTACTTTTATAAATTTGGTTCTCTCTGAAGTTTTCCTTACTGCCGGACATTGACTGCGCCACAAAGGCACTCTTTTCTCTGCCAGGCGCATCTTCTTGTTGGGTGCTACTATTTACTTGAGATTTTGCATTTGAGTTGAGTGCAACACTGCTTGCATTGCCTCCGACTCCAAGGTGAGGGGGCAATTGGTTCGGGGTTGATATCTGCTGATCCTTCATTTCCAGAAGAGAAAGAGCCAGAGCAAACTCCAGGTCGTCATCCTCCGTCTAGAAAAAAAAATACAAGAAAGTGTTGGTGTTCAATGAAAACAAAAATATATTTGCATAAACAACGATGCACAAATAACTACTTTTTTTTTTTGAAGGACCACATCAGAAGTGTTTGGCTCCAATCATTAAGGTTCATTGATAACTGATATATACATTGTAGGTGTTTTATGCTTCCGACAGTTAATTCAAGTGACTAAAATACCTCCTCAAGTTATCCAGAGGCCTGGTAATGACTCATTAGTTAGGTGTGTTGAGCAAGAATGATATGTGCCTTTAAGCCCCAAATTTGGAGACTTTGTTCCTCAAAGTATCAGGTACAGTATCCTAGATACACTGTACCTTAACTGAGCAAATTTTTAATTTAGGCATGTTCCAAATTCAACCCAGACAGGTATCTCCATCTCAAATCCTCAAGAGATATCGCTTGCAATTTTTACATAGATCTCTGCTCGATCAAATGGTTGAATTATCTCTTCAGCATGCCATCAAGTTTGGCAGAGGCCCGGTAACGACCCAATTGTTGGATCTAGATGTGCTGGAGCAGGGATGCATCTAAACGCTGCATAGCAGTAGCTCTTGAGGACTGTAGCTGCAGACCTCTGACTCAGACCATTGTGCTGTCAAATCCAATAGATGCTTAAGGTGATGACAGACGTCAGAAAAACAGTTTGCCAAAGGAAACTTTCAGAAAAACTGACTGTAGCACCTGACACATGACTAAATTTACTCATGAAAAAGTTTCACAATACACACATTTAGTTAAACACAAAAATAAGCAAGCTGCATGATGCCATTTATGATGAGATGCAATTCATGGGAGAATCTGAATTAACCGTTTGACAGGTAGGACATACCATGAAACAGGTTCTGCGACATACTGATCGATTAGGACTGAATACAAAGACACGCCACACTTTTTAGATTTATTTGTTTCAAATCAAACATGCAAAAAAACAGAAAACAAGCGAAAACATTAAAAGTTTAAAATAACGTATAACTTACTTCACACTTTACACCTATTCCCTCATTTGTGTTGAAATAATACTTGAAAAAAAACATTATTGTACATACATGTTATTGACGAGCCTCAATCAGTGGTAACTTTTTTTTTAGCAAGCAAGAATATTGATAATTATGAAGCAAAAATCGATGAAAAAGATCAAAACTAACAACACAGTTTGATGTTACCACGTTGTAAATTTGTAAACTACTGTTGGAAAGTTTTAAACTATTTTGCTCCGAGGTTAATGACATTAACTTATTTATTAACTGTGTTCCCTCACTGACCTTTGAGAAATATCCCTGGTAGATGGAACCGAGGACGGAGTGCAGCCGGATGTTGGCCGTAGACAGCGGCTTGATGATGGACGGAAACTGTGACCGCGTCTCTTGGTGCCCCAGGATGGACACACACATCGCGAAGAAGCCCTCCGGGTCTTCTCGACCCGCCAGCACCTCCCTCAGCATCTGCCTGACAGCAGCTCGGTCACCGGCGGCGGAGTGCGGCATCTCACATGAGAACAGTGACGGTGCAGTTCACGTAAAACTGCGCTAAAGTGAAATGTAACTGGCGGACATGAAGTTCTCTGCCACCAGTTCTCGTTACCAAACACCAGCTGACTAGTAGTTACAAAAGCCATGTGTGTGTGTGTTTTATAACCTATGTAGTAAGTCGACCCTACCAGTAGAGGGAGCAAAAACGTTACGAAAAGCAGACAAAAAAAAGTCGAGTGAAACTGCTTCGCCGTGTGAGTAACAGAAGGAACTCCTTATTTACGTTTCTTTAATTAGATAGAAGGTGGATGAATTCATGGTTTAGAAAAGTAACTGTCTGCAGCATACTCTCTCTGCTTGTTTCTGAGCTGTTCTTGATTTTAACAAGTTAGGCAGAAAGTTCATGCGTGGGCTCCAGAAGTCTAAACACAATCAAACTCAGTTTTGATAGATATGTTGCTGTGAAATCATGTCCTTTGTGTTTTCATTTTATTATTTTTTTTTTGCAAAGCTTTAATCTCGACAAGGGTTTGCTCCTTTTCCGTTGTGCACGCTGTGATGAGAAAGCAAGAAACAAAAAAGAAAAGAAAAAAAAAAAACAAAGCCAGGAGACAGTGTACCCAGCAGTGAATTTTTAATCATGGTCTGCATTCCCTGCTGTTTAAGGGTCGCTAAGTAATTGATTTTTCTAATGAGACAACGTGCAAATTTTGAACACAAGCAGCAGGGGGTGGTGGTTCCCAGACTTGTAGACCAACTTGCAAAGAAAAAAGAAAAAAACAGAAGAAGATTAGAAGCAGTATCAAAAAATGTGACTTTAGACTTCAGCATCAAGGGCCTAGTTTTTTTTTTTTTTTCTAACTTCCATGTGAAGAGCAGGGACAAGAGCTCTGGTATGTGAGGAAGGCAACCCAGAAAGAGAGGAAGAAGGGAAAAAGATTGAGAGAGAGGGAGAATCAATAGTGTTTAGACAGAGAAGTGGAGTCTAAGTGTGTGATCAATAGAGAGCAGAGAGGAGAGATTAGCTGCTTTTCTCCCTCAAACTAACACTGACAAATTGGTGAATTGGTGTATCGGCCCTTGGGCTAAACGGATTGACCTGCTGTTTCCATGTTCCACCGTGTACTGTCAATAAAGATCTGTGTTCGTTGCGACTCTCAATGAAGAGAGTGAATGAAGCAACCAGAGGAGAGGAAAAGGCGAATGGACAGCAGGAAACAAAATGTAAGAAGTGCAACCTCAGGTAAGGCTGGATGCACACAAAATGTCCTCACCTCTGTCTCATTAACAAACACACGCGCATTCACACGTGCAGCCTCGTGCACAGTGTTATAAAACCATAATAACATCTCCAGGAAAATTAATGGAAAGACAGATTAAAAACTAAGTGAGGAGAAACGGGGCAGTGGTGTAGCTATTTGCAACTCATAAATCATCCTGACACACCCACGTGCATGTCGACACATGCGCGTGTGTGTGCATATACACACACACTCACACACGTACTGTAATTAACCACAGGCTATTTACTCTCTCCTGCTGTAAATTAGACATGCAGACACAGTTATTACATTAGGGGAATCTGCCATGCAGAATGCTAACAGGAAGAGGAGGGTGGCGGGACACACAGGTACACAACACAAGCAGCTCGTATAAAAATAAACACACACACACACCTGCATGTACACAAGAAAGAAGCTATGGAAGAATCATAGACTGACAGGAGTGAAAATGAAGCTGCAGCACAGAGAATAGGGGCCCCCAGCTCTTTGTTCCCTGCTGCATTTCATTATCTGAAACGCCAGCCGACACACACACGACTAACGCTCACACAGACACACGCAAACGCACCTCCCCCTCCCCTAAAGCTGTCTGCCTTCCACTCTATGCACACCGCATACACACATAAAAAAAGAAGAGGAAAATAGAGATACTGCGTCAGTGCCATTCACTGGCATCTTTAGTCGGTCATGACAAGCATGTCTGCATGGTCATCTTTAAATCAGCAAGTGCAGAAGCTGCTCTGAGTTTCCCTCATCTCTTCTTTAAAGAAAGCACTGTCCCATAACTTCCATGTTTAAATACAACAAAAAAGATGCGTGGGCTTGATTGAAGAAAGTATTGGTATTCTATCTGGGGGAGCTTTAAACAGTTTTTCTTTTTTATTCTTGCTGCCTCTCTGTATGTCCTCTTGTTTCCCCTGCCTCCCTCACCCCTCTCTGTCCCTCTGTTTTCCCACGGTGATCGATAGCTCATTACAATCATTGACTGCAGCTCATCAGCACCTGTTAGAACTGGAGAGACGGAAAAAGGCGCACAAGGCGTTTCAAGATTATCGATAAGTAGTCGGATCTGCGTTGAATTTGGCTTATAGTTTCGAATTGGGTGTTTTCTATTGCACATCCATCGCTGCAGGTGTCTAGTTTGCCTCTGCTTTATGGTCTGTGGTCTTGGGGAACATCTTATTATGCAACTCACGTGAGTACCGTGGTTTGTTGCTATGGTGATTGCCAGGGGAGCTGGAGTATTATAGGTGTTTATCCTAGACAGGAGCAGGCTACTCTCTGTCTATCAGGACATGCCACACAGTTTGGACCACACAATAAGATCAACACATGTAGTCACATGAGGGCAAATGAAAGACATATTCAGATGCAGATGTGAGCAATAACACAATTTTGTTATTTTGCTCATTTCAAACATTGATATTCCAAGGAAAAAGTAACCTTGTATCAACAAAGTTGTTGGTTTAATGCGTTGCTCCAAATGTTTGTTTTTGGAGAAGATAGATTGTGAGCTAAAAGAGGGAAACGGAGAAAAATGGGTCGAGTCAGCGAAGCTATTAGAAAGAGCACACCATAGTTAAAAGCAATGAAAAATGTGATAAAAACAGAATAAAACCTTCAGAGGTCCCCCGTGGATTCACGCTCAGGATGTGGTCTGAAGAAAAAAAGAATATTGGCGTGAGTGTGAATTTTTAAGGAAAAGTGGATATAAATGGGGGAACACAATGGCGGCTAGAAAAAAGGAGAAGTGTCTCCCTTCATGCATAAATTACACACATCATTTACATATTCATTATGTTTTGTGTTATAATGAGAGTATTTGCTTAATAGCTTCACCACCACTGGCAGCTTTTGTTTGACACAACAGAATTTAAAGAGTGGGGGGGAAAAAGAGGAAAAACAAAGGATCGTAGGTCATCTCCGTAAAGTGGGTGAGGTCAATGGTACACAATCAATTTTACTGATAATCGCATCAATCATAATGCTGTGTGGTGAGAACAAGCGCAACCTGCTCAGGGCTCTTAGAGAAGTGAAATGAAGCAAGGAGAGAGAGGGGGTTGGTAAAAGTTAATTAAAACAACACAGCTTTCTCCAAACTCAGGGCTTTTGGTCGTCCTTCTCTTGTCTCTGTGGAATAAGTAACCGCAGCTGTAATTACCTGCAGGGCATCCACCGAGATCATTCCTTCAGGTGCTAAAATAGCCCTCCAGATGACAATCGAGACAGACAGTTTGTGTCGGTTCTACGAGACCAAAAAAAAAAGTTCCAAATGTTTCAGTGAATTGATGTTGGCTGTGTGGGCGATGATATGTAATAAACAGAGAGAGTTAACGATTTAAAAAGTGAATAAATGAAATTAGCGGAAGAAAGTGGGACGGAAATGTAGAGACAGGGGGAAGGGCAATGGAAGAATGAACTACAAATGAGAGCGATGGCGGTGGCAGGTTGGCACGGTGCCATCCAGTCAGGACTGAAGCAGGGGCGGGCATGGGCATGGGCGAAGGGGCGAGGAGAATAAGAGTGAAAGACGAGGAGAAACAGACCTCCACAGTGCTTCCATGATGCCACCTTGGCACAGGCAGAGTGGGGCATCATGAACGGGAAACCGGGCAGGGAAAAGGACGATATGGAAAAGACCCGGGTAAAGCGGAGCTTTGAAGTAAGTGAGATACCATCTTACAGAGAATGACTCAGATGTGAATGAATGACAAAACATAAAAGGATGCTGAAGATGTAAATGAATGATTCTTTAAAAGTGACCATCTGCTCTGAATGTACGATGGATTCTGAAAATGCAATGATCATTTCGACTTTTCGTCCCGTCTCTACCAGCCACAGCGTGCCAGCCAGCGGGCAGTGTGCCAGTTTGTCCTCATGGCATACCCGAAGCACTTAAAGCAGATGGCGGAGAATTGTTGCAGTCAAAAACAAAGGGACTCACCTCAGAGGATTTGCCTCTAATCACTGTTTGCTCGGACAAAGACAAGAGGAAGTGCCCGGGCAGCGGTTGCCAGCGGTTGTGATGGCATCTTTTGACGGTTTCGGGGCAATGGAAGAAAGGTGGCATGCTGCCAAGGCAAAGCATTTGCAAACCGTAACATCCATATGTTGAGCGGAACATTTCAAAAGCCTTGGATATTTTTGGCAAAAACATTACTTCAAGGGAAAGGCTACAAAGATAAATGGCATCACACCAAACAAAAACCACGAGGCATTTACAGGCGCTGTCAAAAGTTGTACTAGCAGGTGGAGAATTGCAGCCCAAAAATAGCAACAATGTGGTACAACTACACTCACAAATGGAGCTTTTGTGAGTGGATGGCTCAAGAAGCCCATTGCCTTGATGCCAACTTGACCTTGTGCCAGCTGCTGCACTGAAGGGAATGTTGCTGGACATTACATGGAATGAAGAGACGTGAATCTACCATTTTTCCTTAGGGAGGAAGGAAAATAATGAGCAAAAGAAGTAAAGGTTGTGGAAGGAATTTGTGCTTTACGAAGAACAGTGGGAGTGGGTGGACAGAGATGATGAAGAGCTTCTTTCCTGCTCTCACACACCTGGGATGTTCTTAAAGGGAAATCCCCTCAGATTGCTATATGTGTAAAAAGGGAGGGATGTGTTGGCATCATCTCCAGGGTGTCAAGCTGTGTCTCTCCACTGCCATCCAAGGAGGGTGCTGCTGGAGTCATCAAGGGCGGGCAACAGTCTGGGCATCTCATCTGCAGCTAATTAACAGCCACACACTAATTCTAACAGCCGATCATAATTAGTGATTTAATCGCTCGTCAGCGCTCTTCCCCCG